AAATAGATGGCTCTACTATAATGTCCATAGATATAATAGTGGAACGAGTCTATGAAGTTAAATTTTAGGGGTTGTCTTGGGTCATAAACTTAACTGGAAATCTCATATAAAATATATAAAACAAAAACTATGTAAAAGTATTGGACTCTTAAATAAAGTAAAAAATATTTTAGAACAACCAACACTCCGTACATTATTATCACTCAATTTGTTGTTCCGTATATGACCTGTTGTGTAGAGGTATGGGGCAACATATATAAAACCAACACTAAACCTTTGTTTGTGTTACACAAGAAAGTTATGAGAATTTTGTATAAAGTGAATGTTAGGGAACATACAAATAATTTTTTTATTCAATCAAACATCTTGAAACTACGGGATTCAGTTAATTAAAAAAATTTATTAGTTGTGTTTAAAGCAAGAAAGACATTATTGCCAATTAATTTACAAAAGTTTTTTGTTTTAAGTTCAAATGACAGAACTAACCGAAGAAGATATGATTTTAAAAGTAAAACTGTGCGTACTACTTTAAAGCAAATGTGTATTTCAGTTTATGGGGTAAAATTATGGAATAGTTTGGATGACGATTTGAAAAAATGTTCTACTTTAAATCAATTTAAAATACTTTATAAGGAAAAAATTCTTAAGTCTTATAGACTTTTGAGTTAATGAGGAGAACGATATAATGTTTGCAGATTCTATTTGTGATTTAATGTATGTGGCCATGAAAAATAATTGTAATTATTGAGAAAGGAGCAGGTTTATACAAGGGTTTTCTTCTTCCTGCTCCCTTTTCACTCATGCATAGTACAGTACATGTTAAACGAAAATGTGTTTGTATGTTATAATGAGGAAAATTGTTGAATTGAGTGAATAAACTTATATTGACTTGACTTGAAAACAGTTTACCTGCACCTTATATCTAGCATATCTCTTAATCATTACCTTTGTCTGTCCTCTGCAGGGCAGCATGGGCAGCATCGCATGCATTGCCTGGAAAGGCGACACCTTGGTGCTCGGAGATGTGGACGGAAATCTCAATTTCTGGGACCTCAAGGCTCGTTTGTCGAGGTGAAACCATTCTTTTAGTTCATGAATCGGCGGAACTGTTGGTCTAATATTTAGAGAAAACGAGATGCTAAGTGAAGCGGACGGTTGGGTGTTTTTAGGGGGATACCGACCCATCACGGCTGGGTGAAGAAGATCCGCTTCGCTCCAGGGAAAGGCAACCAGAAACTGCTGGTCATGTATCCGGACGGAGTCGAAGTGTGGGACACTAAAGAGGTGAGGCTCCGCCTTCCTGTGATGTTTGACCTTTTATAACACATTCTAATTACATCAGCCGCGTTTCCATTAGAGCTGGGCGGTATGACCCGAATTTTATATCACGGTATTTTTAATGTTTACACCGTTTTCACAGTATATCGCAGTGTTTTTCTTTCCATCACAGGTCAGCTGATAATAAAATGTACAAACACTGTTTATTAACTTTTCTCTTTTACTGTACCTCTGTCTGTGTCACTGTTTCCCTCCTCTGTGTGTCTTCTCCTCCTGTTTGGAGACAGTAGTGATGCATTTTGGTCTGGTCATGAAGGAGGAGGGTTAAGAAAAGATTATTATCGGTTCTAATGTTTTATGTTACTTAATAAAGATTAACAGCACGACTCACCTTGCGCACCAGTCAACTCAACTCCACTACAAAACGTCTTCCCCCGGGCTTTTCACAATAGAAGCATGCTAAAGTCTCCATGCGTCTCCACGTCTCCATATTAACGTCGCGTGTTTAGTCTAACCGTGCACGTCACTGAAGAGGTGTTTACTGCATTCAGCGATGGAGAAAACGGGATGTTTTTTTCACGTCAGTCAATATAAGC